GAGAGAGAGAGAGAGAGAGAGAGAGAGAGAGAGAGAGAGAGAGAGAGAGAGAGAGAGAGAGAGAGAGAGAGAGAGATTGGTTTTATACAAGTTTTTTGAAGTAAATGGAGTTATTCTGACATTTCATCCCCCTGTATTTCGTGCTTTTGCTTCTGGTGTACTCCAGTCTACCTGGAAATTTGAGGTTTCTCAGCTTCCTCACGCTGTTCTTGCTGTTGCATTCTCCTTTCCCATTCTCTCTCTAATTCTGTTCATGCTGTCCATACTTTGCTGGATCTCTCTGCCTCCTCCCCTGTAACTGGCCTTTACCTGCTGTCGTCCTTGTCTCGCTTATTGCGCCTATTGCTGTCCTTGACTCTGCATCTCTCGCCCATGAATTCAATGAATCTGTCCATAAATGGAGCGTGGCCATTAATCATAATTTCTTAGTTCGTTTCCACTCCCGCTCCTTTTTTTTCTTTTTTCGCGAGGGTCATCTTACTGCATGTGGTCTGGGTCCTCTCTCTCATTCTTCCTCTTCTCCATTGTTTCTGATCATTATTTCCTCTTCGGCGTGCTTTTGTTTATGTTGCTTTTCGCCTCTCAATAAACAGCTGCTGGGAGTGCTTTCCAGAGGTTTCCTCTTTCCTGTGAGTACCTCCTCCGCTCCTCTCCATACCGAAGATTCACGACTTCGTTTTTTTTTTTTTTGGTCTTTTTTTGGTCTTTTTGTGGTCAGTTTTGTCAATCCATGTTGTCAACGGCCACTTCCAACTCTGTGTTCAAATTCTGTCCATAAGCTGCGTTACCAACCGGGCCGCCCGGGTCAGCTTGGTTGGCACGGGCGACCCGGCCGGGCAGGGGTCAGGGAAGGTACCTGAGAAGAAAAAAAAAATCCGAAAAAAAAATATTGTGCCGAAAAATAAACTGCACGACTTTTACCTCAGGGACCATGTCCCATATGCACCGTTTAGTTGAGGCAGCTCAACGGTGCGACAGCTAAAAAAAATAATTTTAATTTAATTTCAAATGAGAAATGCATTTATAAATGGCAGGAATACAATTGTTCTCGTTTTTCATTTTTCACAAGTGGAGTGGCATACGGGCGCTTCCACAGCAGAAATTTGCCCGAATCCCCTCCAAAAATGGCAAGCGGGAAGGAGGCTCGTTCAGTGTCTTTCGAAAAACGCCTTTTGGGGGAACAAGAGGGTCGTTGAACTAGCTGTCTCGAAAAAAGGAGACAGCTAGTTCAACGGAAAGTGGCGAGGGTAGGGGTAGTAGTATTCGAGAGAAAGGATTTATTTCTGTTTTTTTATGTAAGAAAAAGCGAAGATGGTCTCTATTGCCCTTTTTATTAGAAACGGACCGTTAGATGAATTGGACGACTAGCATCTCCCTTGTCGCGTACAGTCACACAGGCTCGAAAACCCCACGTTGACCTAGCTCAGCGGAGCTAGTGGGACAAGGTCCCAGGGTCACATCGAAATTCTTTGGCAAATTAAAATTAAAAATTCAAATTTAAATAAAGCGTTTTTATTTATTTATTCTTTTTTTAATTCATTTTTGGCCCGGTCGGATCAAGTGGTCCCGGGCCACTCTGGTAACGTAGCTCCATCCTCTTCTGGGGCATGCGGGCCAGATCTTCGTGTATCCAAAATCCAGAGACATGGTTGGTTACCCTTGCCGACAGTCTTCCCCCGAATACAACGCACGGTCATTATAGCCGAATTTGGTCCATCTTTCTGTCTAAATTCAGCTATAATGACCGTACGTTGTATTCGGGGGAAGACTGTAGGTACAGAATTGCGCGAACCTGTCTTCTCTCTCAGAACAGGGATGCTTGATCCCCTTGCTTTTTTTTTTTTTTTTYTTTTTTTTGATCCCCTTGCTCCTGTGGCCGAGTGGGGCACACAGATGTATCTGTGGATGATGATGTGTTCCGTGAATTGAAGTCCTGACGAAATGAATCAATTATGTATAGATAGGAAATAGGATTACAATTTAAAAATATAGGGAAAAAAACGCAAAATGGATGCTTTGCTTAATATTGCTTATCCAAAATTGCTTTACATGGATAGAATATGTTTACAAGGGACAACAAAGGAAAAGGAATCAGATTGGTAAAATGATGTTGGGTGCTGAGGAAAGGAAGGAAAAAAAAGGGACAGGGGAAGGCTTGCAGATCCAGAACGACAAACCCTCTTGGCAAGACCATCTGGACAAAGTTATGTCAACAAGCCTGCTGTCTCGAGGGACTTGCCTCTCTTTGCATCGTTCCTTCTTTTGCCTTCTCTTTTCAGAAAAGGCGTGGTTTTGGCCTTGAGATATCGGGCCTCGCTCCAGTACACAACAGTGTACACGCATTTGGACGCGTTAAGGACCAGGCGCATTCGGACGATTCCAACGTCGTGAATGAATCTGGTCAAGAAAGCGTCCAAATGCATGTTACACAGTGTTGTGTAGTGGAGTGAGGCCCGTCATCTCATCCTTGAACTAACTTGCCCCAGGTAATTCAGAATGGTTTTGTTCTGCTCATATGATTGCATTTCATCATTGTATCTGGTCGTCCTTTCGGGAAAAAAGTCCCTGGCGCTGTGTTGGGAAAAAAAGTCCCCGCCTTCCTTCTTTCCTCGAATAGAACGTACAGTCATTTTTGCTGCATCTGGACTGAAAGGTGAGCCTAATACGTCTATAATGACCGTACGATCTATTCGGGGAAAGAAGTCTCTGGTAGGGCCCTGAGAAATTCTGAATAAGACCCTTTTATCTACAACAAAACAAAGACCAGAGTGGGGCACCTTGCCTTTGACGAAAATTTCTGCCCGGTCTATATTATGAAAAGATTAAAAAGACAAAAAACTTGAAAAAAGACAAAAGTCTCTCGTTTTAACAACTTTGCCCACCCTGCAGTGGAGTATGTGCAGGAGTTGTGCATGTCAGAAACGTCTTTTTTTTTATTATTAAGAAACGCTTATTTCCAAAACGGCGCAATTGCGGGCTTGTACACAATTACAGGAAAAAAAAAAGGAGGGGTTTAGTCACAACACAATTTTCGCTAAAAAGAACAAAGGGAAAAGAATTGGGGATCATCAAAAAAAAAAATGAAAAAAAATGGGGAGTTTTTGGGATAAGGAGGAAATTGGGAAATTATTTCAGCTCGAAAGTTGGGCTCAAGGAAGTGAGCCCAACTTCTCAGGTTTTGTGGCATGTTGGTCAAAGTCGATTGTCAATCGTCTAAGACAGACGTGGCATACTCACAGTAGGAGTTTTTCTACGAAGTTTCTGGACGTGATTGCGGTCAGATTCATCCAGGTCTATCCGTAATTGCAGCCAGGTTCATCCAGGTCTGTCCGTAATTGCAGTCAGATTACATTTAGGCAATTGCTAATGTCAGTATGCCCACATTCTGCAGCTTTTTAAGAAAATATAATGTAACATACACCGGCTCTCAAGGAAAGGCATCTCCGGCAAGAGAGATCCAAGAGATCTGTGGATACTACGGGCATGAGAAGACGAGCAGAGTAAAATGTACAACTGTGAAAGAAAGCAACGACACAAATAAAGTAGAGGTACAGTCGTAAGGAGAGCAGGGTTCAACTGCGCTTATAAGGAATCAGGGGGGGGTGGGGGAGGGGAGGAGAGGGGGAGGAGAGGGGAAGAAAAAGGGTGTATGGTCATTTGCTCAGGACTAGGGGGCGTCAGGCAGGACCGTAGTGATTGGGTACACCATAGGGAGTCTCCCTGCTAAGGTTGAGCCGCTCGATCTCCAGAAATCTTGATAAGAACTTTCTGTAATTTTGTAAAATGCTTGCCAGTGATAAGGAACCGGACTGTTGCCCCCTATTGAATAGAAGGGGCTATTTCTTCAAAAAGAGAGAGAGAGAGAGAGAGAGAGAGAGAGAGAGAGAGAGAGAGAGAGAGAGAGAAGCAGCAGCTGCAGGCAAGAGAAATAGTAGGGGTGCTGGAGAACATGCAGCAGGTACAGGCAAGAGAAACAGGAGCCACGGTAGAGAACAGGGATGAGGAGAATGGCAGAGTGATGTCAGCAAAAGGTCTTAATGTCTTCATAACCGGATGCGGGTAATGGTCGCGGTGGAACAGGTGGGACCAATTTCCACTAGCAGCGTTGTCAACGCCTGAATCTGGACGTGATTGTGGCTATTTGTGGTTGAGGAAACTACTGAATGCCATTTCCGCACGTCTCCACAAACACGTCCAGATTCAGGTGTTGAGGAAACTCAGCGCTGCTCGTGGGACTTGGCCCCTGTTGAAATGTGGCAGACTGCGTAGCCACACGGGCCCTGTAGGACCCGTCCCGGACATTCAGCCTTAAAGCCTAAAACTTAGGAGCTACAGGCCCCGGTCGTTTCAGCCTGAAAACTGAAAAACGAGGGCCTGCAGGCCCTACTCCGTTTCAGCCTGAAAACTGAAAAACGAGGGCCTGCAGGCCCTACTCCGTTTCAGCCTATTTCTGGGTCTTTCAGACCCAGAGTTTTTCCAGCCTGAAACGGAGGG